TGTATATTTTTCAGCTTAAAAAGTATCACACGAAGTGCACGTGTGTTGACCTGTCAATCAAAATCACTTGACGCTGTATGCACTGCAATTAAGTAGCCTGAGTTCGAAATGATCTTGAAGTATGATCTTTAAGTAAATCTGCTGCAACAAACTTGTGAAAAAAATAGAATAAAATAAAAAATAAAATATCTCGGTATTATGAACTTCGATTGTGGGACGTGGAGACCGGTCCTTTGGATGAGATCGTATAAATCGAGGTCCCTTGTCGCAGAAGATGCTGGCATAAAAAAGATTCCCCACTGCTCAATTGCGATAAATGCCAAAGTATAGGACAAAAATTTACAGTCTCCACCGGCGAGTGGTGGCGTCTCCATGTGAGTGAAAAATTCTGGAGAGGGACGTTAAACAACATACGTATAATCAATCAATCAATCAATCAATCAATCGATTGCTGAAGAATTACTGTAATTGAATAATTTGTCTTATAGGTATGTTGTCAAATCTTGATATTATAACTTTACAAAACTCAGTGACTTTACGTTTAATGTGATACTAACTTAATTCATTATACTTTTTTATAACACCATCACAATTATGCCAAAAGATACACACAGTGAAGTTTATGATAGTACGGTGTTCGTTCGTCTGTTTGTTTGTCTTAGAAATGATTGCAAACATTTTTTTTTTAAATTGCTAATGATATACGTATATCTCTTATAGGTGCCAAATGTATTATACAAGATTGATAATGAAAATCAAAGTACCTTAAGTACTGAAAGGACTTTTTTCCAGTTATTTTTTTCTTTCACAGTAAATATGATATGTATGTTTTTTACACAGAAAAAAGCAAATTCTTACAGATTTAGAAGAACGGAAGACTTTTTTGTTGCCATGGCAACAAGAGTCTAGTTATTATTATTATTCTTTTTTTCTACTTTCTTCTCCGGTACTTTTTTGTCCGGGAGTGTTCTCATAGAACCACTCATCCGATTGACATGAAACCTTTTTAGGGTTAATAGGCATGTTGTGTAGGTGTTCGGAACGAAGGTCATTTTGCGCGCACATGCATGCACGTGCGCGCGCTTGCAATGAGTGAAATGACTGATATACTTGATGAAGCCGTAACTTTTGTATTTCTTGATGAATTGCTTTGAAACTCAAAATATAAAGATATATTAGTAGTCTAGACAAGATAACATGGTCAAATTAGCATGAACTCACGCGCATGCACGTGCGCTCTTCTCTGATTGGCTGATACAAAAATCTCAATAATTTCCTTGTTTTTTCACAAAATACTTTGAAATTTAGAATATAAGTATATATTATAAGATGCTACAACATGTTATATAGGAAATTTCTTGAAAACACGCGCATGCAGGTGTGCTGCAATCTGATTGGTTGAAACTTTAAATGTCTATAACTCCCTTGGTGTTCAACAAAACAGGATGAAATTTACGAAATGGATAGGCACATAGAGCTCATACAATATGATACTATCAAAATTGAATGCAAGGCCATGCATGCGCGTATGCTGATTTCTGATTGGCTAATAAGTAAAGGGTTACATCTCTCTTATTTTTCAATGAAATTCTTTGATATTTAACACAAATGTATGTATTGTGAGACACTATAAGAAAATTAATGTGAAAAATGTAGAAAAGATGTGCAAGCACATGCGCTGAAATTTGATTGGCTAATACCCATATGGCTATATCGGAGTAGTTTTCCAATCAAATACCCTTAAAAATAAAGTATCCATTTATATTACAAAAGTATTGTCTAATTTATTGAAGCTTGTAGGGAATGGGGCATTATAAGGGATCGGGGAGCCGTTTGGGGAACATCTGTAACGGTTCCCGTTACAATTAGCACTAGTTATGCATGTGTTAATACATGCGATTCCTTTCTTGCCACAATTTATGTCCGGCATCATATAATACCTCCATATTTTGGCTAGGATCTAGGTCAATATAAGAAAAATATGATATCTCCGAATAACTTTTAATTTTTTTTCACACAGTTCACAAGAAAACACTTCATCCGTACGATTGGCATTAGCTAGAAATCAAACCGAGTTTTAGCAAAAAAATAAACATGATAAAGAAGCAAACAAACATGCATATCATCGTCAACGCCATTTTCTCTCGATTACATCCAGCATTCATGAAGAGATAAAGAGTACAGAAAAGCAAGAACACAGTGAATATTCATGTGCATAATAATGATATGCGCAGTAAAATTGTTTGTGTGATTTTTAGTTTCCTCTGCTCGTGCAATTTTTTGATTTTACGTTTGTGCATTTGATACCCCTTAATCGTGTAAAAAATTTCGGATTCGTGTATTTTTCGTTATGTTTGTGAAAAAATCTTTCAAACTATGTGCAATTTTTACCGATACGTGCATTTTTATTTTACTCGTGTATATTTTTCATCAAGCTCGTGTATAAAATCATGATCGTTGTGCAGAAAATAATTTTGACGCAATCGGCGTGCCATACAATGTTATCTGGCTACATAGATCTCACCAGACATGAAAACAGAAAACCAGATGGACCACAGCTTATTTTCAAAAAGATTTTGAGGAAGCTTGCAGGATGTTTGAGTAAAAGAGGAGCTGATGCAGCCTCAGAAAATCACTGGCAAAAGTAAAACTTAAATCGAAACGTACAGAGTTGGAGAAATATGCAAGCTAATAGTGCGAAAAGGACAGAATTTCAGTTGGATCACTTAGAAATCGCTTTTCATCCCTAATAGAACAACAAAGTGAGGGTGACAAGCAGTCTCAGAAGCCTACAGTAAATTAAACAAAGAAGTCAAGCAGAATGCAAGGCGAATCAAAAGGAATTTTGTAAACAAGCTACTATAGTATATGTCACAGAAGCAGATGTACCAACCAGGAAGCTCAACATTAAAGCCCTTTCTTACTAGAAAACATCATAAAAGGACTCGACCAATTAAAGATAAAGTGGAGATAAGCAGGGTTTGTCAAACAAAGCATCTGGTGACTAGATAGCAACATTACGATTGATTGATTGATTGATTTGTTGTTTCAACGTCCCTCTCGAGAATTTTTCACTCATATGGAGACGCCACCACTTGCCGATGGAGGGCTACAAATTTTGACCTATACTCGGCACTCAGGGCCTTTGAACAGTGAGGGATCTTTTTCGTGCCAGCACCTACTGGGACACGGGACCTCGGTTTATACAGTCTCATCCGAAGGACGTGTCTCCATGTCCCGCAGTGGGATTCGAACCCACGACGTAAGGATCAACTCCTTACTCCGCGACTCTAGAGCAGACGCTCTAACCACTGCGCCACGAGGACGACACATTACGATTTATAGTAAGTAAGTAAGTAAGTAAATATTTTATCATAGTGACTTATGTATACAATAAGTTTACATTCATTAGACAAATAAGCATATATGTACAACACCCGGCCCATCGGACCTATAAGTCACATTTAGCAATATATATCAATTTTCTTTGTCTTATGTTATATGCATTATATATATATGAAACTCGCAGTTTGACGTGGGAAATGAGTTAATAGATATTTAAATAGAAGATTTAAATCATTAATTTGTAAATATTTAGAACAAAAGAGTCTACATCATCACTTAATGTAGTCTTTTGATTTTGAAAAACAAGAGGTCCAGGGCCACATCGCTCACCTGAGCAATGGCTAAGAAAAAGCAGAAATCAATTCAGTCTTGAAAAGTTTTGATATAAAAGTGGTTCGAGGGGGTGGATGGGTATTGATTTTGAACTTGAATCTATACTTCAAAGGATGTTTTTGAATTAATATGACAAATAATGGCTATGCTGTTCTTAAGAAGACAATTTTTATTGATATATCATTTGTATTCCTTTGTATAACTACGATCCCCTGTTATGGCCCCTCTGTTCTCCTGGGGGGTCATGATTTGAACAAAATCTGAATCTACATTACCCAAGGATGCTTTCATTTAAATATGACTAATTATGCCTTTGCTGTTCTTGAGAAGAAGATTTTAGAAGGCTTTTTCCTATGTATTCCTATGTAAAACTTTGATCGCCGATTGTTGCCTCACGCTACCCCTGGGGTTCATGATTGGAACAAACTTGAATCTTCACTACCTGAGGATGCACCCATATAAAAATTACCAATCATGGCTTTGCTGTTCTTGAGAAGAAGATTTTTCCTATGTATTATATGTAAAACTTTGATCGCCCATTGTGGCCCACCCTACTCCAAGGGGTCATGATAGGAACAAACTTGAACCTACACTACTTGAAGATGCTTCCATATTAATATGACCAATCATGGCTTTGTTGTTCTTGAGAAGAAGATTTTTAAAGATTTTTCCTGTATATTCCTATGTAAAACTTTGATCGCCCATTGTGGCCCCACCCTACCCCCGGGGGTCATGATTTGAACAAACTTGAATCTACACTACCTGAGGATGCTTCCATATAAATATGACCAATCATGGCTTTGCTGTTCTTGAGAAGAAGATTTTTAAAGATTTTTCCTATATATTTCTATGTAACACTTTGATCGCCCATCGAGACCCCACCCTACCCTCGGGGGTCATGATTTGAACAAACCTGAATCTACACTACCTGAGGATGCTTCCATATAAGTTTCATACTTTCAAGCACAGTGGTTCTGGAGAAGAAGATTTTTTAAATGATGCCATATATTTTTCACAAAATTACAAAAATTTTCGGACAAATAAAAATATCATGAAAATCACTTACACAGGAATGCAAAATGGCATATTATATAGACTTACTCTCACCCACACAAGCGTTACTGTAATGCTTGTGTGGTTGAGAATAAGTCCTATACTATATCCACCCCAGCTTCGTTGAAATGGAGAAGGGAGGATGCAAATGACACCAACTGGAAAGGCTAACCCAAGACGGGAAGAAGTGGAAGGGTATTATTAGTGATCTATGCTCCTCTCTGGAGCAAAAAGGCATAAGCAAGTATATAAACATGTGAAAAAACACGTTCAGCAATAAAGAATTACAATGTATTTATTATTTGAAAAACATTACAGAAAAATACATAGAAATTGTTACAAAATACATAACATTATCTATATGTTACATACGATGGTTAAAAAAATTATGCAAAATCCCAGTAAATATACTGCAAATGTTCAGTAAATTGTAGACTACCTATATGCAAAACTTTTGATGGAATTACGATAGACTTCGATAATATAAGTTCAGACCGCCTTATGAATAAGTTTTTTCTTAAAATTATTTTTTTTACTCATTTTACTACTGTTTAAATGTTCCTTAGATAAAGTTAGGAGGTAAAACTACTATTTTATAGTCTAAAATTTTTCATATATAGCAAAAATATACAAATGGGTATAAAATACTGGTACACTTTCCACCCTCAGAAATTTTACATTCAAATTTTGACAACAATATCGAATGGTTTAACCTGCATTATGATTGGTTGGCGATTTCCTTAATACTGCAGAGTTCAACAAAACTATACCCTGGGGTATAAAATGTGCTATTCAACCCTCAGGAAATATGTACATCGGTAAAATTACACTTCCCTCTCTTTGTGTGAATGGGAAATCTTATTTATCATTTACTCGTAACAGGTACTTTTTCTTTCCTTACACGGTTAAAAAAACGATCGTACTTTCAGCCAGTGGATAAGTGTATAATTGCCCAATCCCAAAAATATAATTAAATATACTAATTCAATGATTCTTAAGCATAACACTTTATGCACACAGTGAAATACACACATGAAACTTTGGATGATATTCTAAACATTCATGACGTTAGCCAAGACTTGCATCCAAAACCATTTCATTCACCAGCTCTTTTACAAATCCAGTCTTCAACTGTTTCTGATGTACATGTACATACATATTTATATTGATGTGGATTGTCCATCCGAACTTTCAAACAAAATACCCGGATCAGCTTCTACGGCTTGCTGATAATTGTTTACAGGGGGTTTACATTGAAGATCTTCTTTATCAAATCCGGTTACTTTTACTCCACTCTTAGGATTATTGTATATGTTTGGTTCTATCCTCACGGAATCACGTGATCCCATTGCAGGGTCTTCTGGAAAATAATTATACGGTAACAGGAAAAAACTGAGATCCATGCCTGGTGTGTGAGTTACAGGGAGATCCTCTGTATGGGGGATGTGCTGGACGCCCATACTCACCCAAGCAACCAAATCCTGCAAAGAAACGGCAATACCGGTACGTATACTAACTTCCACATAAAATAGATTAACTCAATGCTTTCGAAAATAATAAAGACAATTACATATATCAGAATATGCTGAAATATATGTACATTATAGAGACCTGACCTGAAAAAAGTTATTTGGGAATTATACTGTAAACATAAATAAATTAGCACTCTTGTCATCTTCAACTGATTTGCTCAATCCTAAATTGGCGCACTGGAGTTTTTACAACGATATTAGTGAATGGATTAGCGAACAAGAAGTAGCATTAAGGGCGCTAAAATATAATATCCGCTAAAATAAGTACGTTTACATTAGTTTTCATAACTGACAGACGAGGAAGCAAAACGATGAGAAACTAATTATATTAGTAGGTACGATTTTTTAACGGAAGACCATGTAAAATGCAGTGTGTCTCCTCCCATAGGAGAAGATGTAAATTTCATTTGATTTTCATGTTGTTGACCAGTTAAGTCACTAGAATATTCGTAAGACATAATGCTATCATTGTTTCTGGATAAAATAAATACTCACCTCATCTACAATATTTTCATTGTCGTTCAAGTAGTCGTCAAAATTGACAACTGGTGATTTAGCGTCCAATCCACTATATATGGAACTACATATTCTTTCATTTTCTTTCCGTTTGGTGACCGCCATTTGATAGCGCATCCAGGCCATGGCCGGTTCGTTCCCCTCGCCTTCTGGTAACAGTTGTTTACTCATTCCTCGACTCAGCAGCCTGTATGATCTTGGAACCCCGAACTTATTGCTTTTCAAATTGCTGTAGAACAAGTGGTACTTTGGGGTATCAAAATTATACTTGTATGCAGCTTCGCTTTCCGTCTTTTTCTCAGAAACCACGAATTGACCTTGGACAATTTTTGCATTAGGGTCTGGATTGAATCGGTTGGCAGAAGCTTTAGTGGAGATGTCCAGAGTTCTATAGCGATTCTGAGGTCCTTCAATATCTATATCTACCTTGTAGCTAAACATATGATGGTGTAGGTTACCATTGATGTTGTCGCTCACCTGTACCCCAAAGTTCGCAGCGTTGGCTGTAAACGGGGTAGAAAGTATGTAACCAGTTGACACTATTTTAACTTCCATTGCCCCGGTATGGTAGAATATAAAGTCAAGGAGATAGCTGTAATTGACCACTGTAAGGATTGATCTCAGTATAAGAATAGTATTTGGCAGTCCTTCATAAAATGCGCCATGGAATGGAGAGAAAGAGTGATGTGTTCGAAGAGGCATTCCTGTGTTGATTTCAAACACACAGAAAGAGTTTTTGTATGTGATCATCTTTTCAGAGGATTCCAGTACATGAGAAGCAGGCATAAATGTGGCATGGGACGGACAGTCAACACCTGGGACTAACCCTTTATCCTGAGGACCAATCAGAGCAGTTGAATCAAAGTAATTTGCAAACATCTGTGTCGGCTTATATCCGGAATAAAAGACACTGATTTCTTGTAAAGCAAGTTCGTACACAATTCTGTTGTTTTGGAAACGTATATCATATAGCTGTGGGCCCCGAGTACTAGACATTCTGAAGTCAAATTCCCAGTTCATGTACTTCACATGCTGACCTTCTACACTGTATCTGCGACCATCTGGTTCGATAGAAATGGGTGGACGCTGTGTTGTTTTCGGGAACTCGGTGCCTCGTCTGTATAATCTGGAAAACAGAGTCTCGGACAAATCGGGAAAAAGTAAGTGTTTCTTTTGCAATTTGTCCTCATTGTATTGTTTAACAAGAGAGTCGAGGGTGTCAAACGTATGCTCATTGTACCATACTTTCTCAATTGAATAATTTGGATCGTCCATATCGACTAGCACAGCGAAGTCAATAGGATGGAGAATGTAAAATTCTACAAACTGAGACATCCAGAACCAGTATAGACGTCGATCTCTTCCACTAACTGCAGATGACATAAGTGTAACATATTTATAAGTAAGACAAGTTTCACCACAATTTGTAAGTGACCCACCAAAGCTTTCTTGTAAAAGTTGGCGCGCTTTTCGATCAGTCTCCTGTGTGATTTTTTCTATAGCACCACCATAATCTGGACCAGTAATAGGGCGGTACTGGAAAGGAATGTCGTCCTTCCAGATCGTGTAATGAGTGGGATTAGGGAGCGGAGTGACGACTATCTCCATAATTTTTGGTATGAGTAAGTCTCCCCGAAAAATTATGACTCGCGCTTGTCTTGGTGGTTTCTGTCCAGAACCACTATCAAGAAAAGAAGTTGCGTCTGCTTTTTCAGGTAGATGGAGTTCTGCTGTAAATATGTACGATGATCTCACTTTGGCTTTTACTGGTCTTGTTAAATTAAGATCTTTTTGTTTATAAAGAAAATCCATCATTCCTTTCACTTCCTTGGAAGTTAAATCATGAAACATTGACGGATTATTCGGTTCTGATAGATCAACTGTTTGGCCTGACGAGCAAGGCGGAATCTTCTCAAATTTCTTCATGACACCCACCACTATAACTATGATTAACAGTAGGAGAATTAGTATCCCAGCTGCAAACACCATGATGCGGAAACGTCCGATTGTCCGTCTGTGTTTTTCAGATTTGTCCTCATTGTAGGACTCTGGTCTGTCCTCTTTCTTTTTGTCTAGAGGATCAGTTTCGTGATTGTTTTCCATCTCGGAATCCGAGTTTCTGCAAGATAAGAAAATATTTGTAAAACAAAAGCTCACCACTCACCCAAGTAACCTTGGTTTAACTCTTCCAGAAGATTTTATTAAGATATTTTTCCCTTCTTAATTCACTTGAAAAATTTTGACCTCATTTTGTGGCCTCTCCTCAGCCCCAAAGGGTCATGTTATAACCAAACTAAATTGCACACAATATTGGGATGCTTTATCATTTTTTAGTTTTAAAAAATAGTTTAAATAGTCTCTCTCTACCCCCGGGGACCACAATTTGAACAAAATTTATTGTGCACTATTTAATGATCTTTGCATATTATTATCACTTTTTTATTATCACCCAGTTGTTCTTGAGCAGATTTAAAAAAAAAAAAAACAACCTTTATATTCCCCTATTGTGACCCAGATCTATTCCCGGGGACCGTGGTTTGAACAAACTTTAATCTGCACTATTTGAAGATGCTTTAATAATTAATATCTTTAATCGTAGTTCTACTTTTCTTGAGAAAAAGACATTTTAAGATTTTTTCCTAAATATTACTATGTAAAAATTTATCTTTTATTGTGCGCGCACGCTACTTCAGGGTTCATGGTTTGAACAAACTTGGATATGCACTGCCTGTGGATGCTAACATATTTATATCCATTACTATATGCATGGCTCTTCTGTTTTTGAGACTTATATATCCCATGTAAAAATTTGATCCCTTATTGTGGCCCCACCCTACTTGGTGACATGACTTAAATAATACCTGAATATGCTTGCATATGAATATGACTTAATGTGACAATTCAACATTAATTTTTAGTAGAAGACTTAAAGATATTTTTATATATTCCTATGTAAATCTTTTACTTCATTTTACAGCCAATTCTTAGCCCTGTGGACCATAAATTGAACAAACTTGAATGTGCAATATATAAGGCAGGATTAAGATAGTTTTTTTTTCTGGCCCTGTTGTTTCTGTTGTGGCCCTAAAAAAAGATATTTCATTCAAGCAACCAAAGGATCACTTCTATATAAATAGGGATCTGACCTATAGGGCCGGGCTTGGGTTTTTTCTCTACAAAAAGCTTGTCGATTTCCGTTCCGATTAATGACATTAGGCTGAATACATGTAACAATTTGTTTTTCATAAATCTTTGTTTCAGTGAGTAGAGGTAGGAGGAACACTTTCATTGAATTCTGAGTTTGTTATCTCCAAATGTAATAATTGATATTTTTCTTTACTTCTCATTGTACATAATGGTAATGTCTACTGTCTCTTGAACTCTGTTTTTTATGTCTAGGCTATTTATTTTACAACATATTTCAGTTGGATATAATAAAAACATGCAATTAATGTGTGCAAATCATATGGGCCTAAATGAAATCCAAGGGAGTACAGTTACTGATATATGTAGCCCTACTGTTTCAAAACCTAAGATCTTAAAATATTGTACATGTATGTTATTCTAAATATATTAAGCTCAAATAATTCAAGCAATACGTAACATTCATGTACTACATGTAACCCAGACAAGCACTAGTAGCACAGACAGAATAAAAGCAATGTGATTAAATTCTAAGGAATATATACAATTGAAATTCATCGCAGCTCAATGCTGCCGAGAATACCTGTATCGAGTAACACAGAGTGAGTTATTCTTGTCCTCGGGGAAAGTGTGCTATACTGAGACTTGTTCCGCCTGACTGACAACTGTATATTGGATTGTTACGATTTGATCTCTCTCTAGTGTTTCTTATATCAAAAATGGGAATGCATAAAGGATAGATAATTGAAGAAACATACACAAGCATATAAAAAAATTAAAATAGTCTTTGAAAAGGCAAAAATTTAAAACTATAAAAGTGTGGCAACAGGTGGATTCGAACCCCCGACTTTAAAAGTAAAGTACCCACGATATAAAAGTCAGCGCAGCGCATATATCAAATGAGCTAATCTGACTACCAGATTGAACGGTATAAATTTGAAGCAGATTGTCAAAATCAAGTTTACATATTTTTTTGTAGGTTTTTTGTGAATTTCGACCCTAGGGCAGGGGTGCCCCTAAAAAAATCCTATCTAAAATTATTCCTTACATCCCAACCTATCAAAATATCACAATTTTATTTAGGGGCAGGCCTGCCCTGAAGGACTTCTAGGCCAAAATTTATGCAAAAATCAACGCTTTAACGGACAAAATGGTGTTTCGGCCAACTTTGGAGGTTTATTGTGAAGTTGTAAATGATAAATTTTAGTTGTAAACTCAAATTTGAAAAAATAAGACATATATACGGTAGAAAACAACAAATAAAGATTGATTTTTAAATGTCACTTCTTCCGGGAAATTGTTCTCTCCTATAGGTCAATTCTTTTGTAATAGTGAATACATCCTTTTCACTATTTTTAAATTTTCTTCCCTTGAAAGGGGGTTATCTTTTCATTTGAATAAACTTGAATCCCCTTCATTCAGTCATGCATTGTTACAAGTTTAGTTGAAACTGGCCAAGAAGTTCTGGAGTGTGAAAGTTTTACAGACAAAATACACATGAAAATCGTCAGACATACGGATGTCGGACACTCTTCATAAGGAAAGTTCCCTTTGGCTCAGGTGAGGTAATGAGTATGTTTTTATTTATAAACTCTTTCTACCATATACACGTACACTGAAGTTCGTTTCCCATCAATCAATGACCTTTACTTTTTTTTTACCTAAAAATATTTACCTCATACACTTATATTCACGCAGTATGCTGATGGATGCCAATTTTTGTTTCGTTATTGGTCGCACAATTAATAGTCTGCAATTTCTTTATGCAGGTATTTGATTTGTGCTCATTGATGCAGAGTATTCTCTTGTAGTCAATTGAACAACATTTTTGCTACCCATTCCAAAGGTATATTAGATCATTAGAAACATTAATAGGAACATAAAGCATCCAAGATTCTTGTCTTGTGAATCAGTACATCTAATTTTAGGAGTGAAATATAACTGAGTCTGTCCCCTGTTTTTTGGTAGAACTTAACAAACACTAGTAGAGCCATAATAAAATAAAAGCACAAGTACATTCGTATTCTGTTTTCAGAATCATATTGCTCACTATCTAGTGTTGATTTTAAGCATTAACTGGTTTTTAAATAAAATCAGAAAAAATAAATGGATTACACTTTTTTTACTTACTTTTTTGAAATCTAATTTCTCAAACGTTTTACATACATGACTGTAACAAACGTTTTCTCATCATTGTCATATGAATTTAATCAGTGTATAAGGAGTTTATATGGGGAAATTGTGTAATGTACACATAATCGTTGTTTCAACTGCTGAATCTGGGGTTACATGTAAGTGGGGCTCGTGAAATTGGGTCAAGTAAATGCTCGTCTGCTATGAGAACAACTACACTGGCTAAACAGATTTTAGAATTACATTTGTTTCTGCTAAGTTTTATCGGATTAAATAAATTTATTGACTGCAAATGAAGGAGTTGTGTATGTTATCTGTATACCATGGAAAACTGTTAGAGTGGTGCATTTAAAGAAATGTGCAGAAAAAGAATACCTTAATTTATCAATTTTAAAGCAAATAAATCGTATCTATGTTTAAATAAAACCTTGAACAATTTTAGATACTCGATAGACAACTGTGGGTACGTTTTATGTAAACCTTGCTCCAAGCATGACGTACGACTAGAAAAGTGTTTTACTATGGCGATGATAACGAGGAGCGATTTTTTCAAGGGTTTTAATATTTTGCCTGGATGCACGGTGAAACTTGCTGCTCAGAACTACATTTTTTTGCTTGTTCCTGTTATTATTATTAAGTAAAAATACTTTTAGATCAACATCGAAAAAACCTTTTAAGCTATAATATTAATAAGCACTGCTAAAAGAGTAGGTCTTGTCGATCGAAGTCAAAAAGGCATTTAAAAAAATATTAATACGCGTTATATAGCATTATTAATAAAGTCTGGGGTTCTTTGTTTAATAAGTCATTTCAGATGTTTATTATTTGTGACTCTCATCTCGAAATGACAACGTTTCCACATAGTTAAGATAATCATTTGAAGACTAAAGCATATTTACACAAGGCTTTGTACAGTATCATGGTGTAAATCAAACATTTATTTCAGGCAAATACATGTACTCGTATAGTATTAAAACTCTCGCTGCAATATGTAATCATCTGTGTTCTTAATTAATTACAAATAAACACAAACGAACTTGCTATATATTTGAACACTTGGTTTATGGTAAATTATCATTTTATGCAAACATTTTCCCTTTTAAGTACACGTATACGCCCTGAAGTAAACCTCACCTTGTATTATTTTATTGTGTTTAATTGTGCAAAAGTACATCTACCGATTTGCAAACGCTTGTCTCCCAGTTCGACAAGTGCAATTTTCAACTTTTCTTCAGCTGAAATAAACACGATTTCGTGTGTTAATCAGTCACGGTGTCTGCCAATGATCGAGCAGATGTTTTAATAATGTCAGCAAAGTTGCCGTTTAAGTAGTAAAAGTAAGGGGACTAAAACAAGCGAACATGCATGGGCTTTTAATGCTGTAATTAATGTTAAATTTTCTGTGCAGAAATAATGCAACGATGCAGAAATTTAAAAATGGTTGTTATGACACCCCTTTTCGTATGTAAAAAGTTTATCTTTACCTTATGATATACAAATTTATATACCATTCGTAAAAATAGCAAATTTTCTAGAGGGTCTTACCTTGTAGTAAAAAGAGTCTCAAAGTTCAATTATGTAATGCGCATGTTCACAGATGTAAAGTCTGATGGGTAAGTATAAAACGTCGGTGATTCAACGGGTAAATAAAGTGAGATAAACTCTCTGCCTGTTTATCTCCCAAATATTGAGGTAGATCTCCTTGGCGGTTATAAAATCGATGATAAAGGGGTTAATCGTGAGAGATACAGCTTTAAATTCGGGTAACTGTACTAGACGAAAAATATTTAACAAAATCTTCAAACTTCCTCACATGGTCCTATCGAGTTGACCCCCGTGAGCAAAAGAATTATTCATCTGCATGTTAGACTTGTATCGAAGGCGTGTTTCATCCTTGTTTTGCCGAGGGAAGTTTCATGGCTTCAAAGTCTCTCGTTTATTATTTATTTATTTATTTAATTTGGATATTTGGCATGTGTAAGAATTTTAAAATAGATAATAAATACATTAATTAATTAATTACTACGATTTTCGTGGAGCATTTTGAAACGAAAGGGTTTTTCTTTGTATCTTAATTCTTAAATTTTATACAGCAAATATGTAAACACAACACGTTATGTAAGGCTTTTTTGTTATTAATATTTAAATGGAATTCCATAAGGAAAAGGCTATACCTGACTTATTATTCAAAATCCACCCTAACCTTTTCATTAAATCATCACTATGATGAGTATTAAAGAAGAGATCACGTGAGTATCCGAAGATGCACTATTTACATTAAAATAATTTTGTCATTAAAACTTGATTTAAACAATTCTTCATATATGAAAAAAGGAGTTTGGGAAACACGCACAATGCATACTTTCATAGTCCTTACTCGTGTGAAAATTACCTTTCCTTGCTATCAGACTGCATTCTAAATTTAGAATCCTATGAATAATTCTTCTATAACAGACAAAAGGTAAACATATCAAGAATTAAACATATTTAGTTATTTACCTTTCACGACTTCTTCGCCTCATTGTTTCTTAATCTTTACTTCCAAAACTATGACGAGCCGTTTTAGTAATCTTGAGATATTTTCGGGTATTAGAAAAAGAGTTGCTACTAAAATATTAAAAAGTAATTTGTGAGATCAGAAATTTGATATTTTTATATTTTTTTATTTCAAAAAGTCATTTTTGATAACCAAAAAAAAAAAAAAAAGATTTTTTGGAAATTATTTTTATTGACATGATTTTTCGACATCAACATGAAATTCACGATATCAGCAATTAAGTCAAAAATACAAAATGACACCTCATACAAAACAGTTGATAAAGCTACATATATCATGTGACAATTGATATCTTTTTATGGTCAGAGTGGTGGTTTCTGTCCAGAGCGACTATTTCAGATAGGCGAGTTCATTTATCAATAAGTCGGGCATTGTTTTAGAACATAGAGTACTGTAATATATACTCGGTATTTTATTTTAGAGTGAGTTGTTTAAATATATTTAAGGTGTTCATTTCTTCTTACCTAACACATTCATGCTTGGATGCTTGATTGTTTTATTTGTGAGTGACAATATAATGTAGGCAACATTAGTATTAAGGACAGATGATACAAACAATTTTTTTTCTTTGGAGGAGACTTAATATCATGTCACAGCTTTAGAAAAGTGGATAATTCTTTGAATTTTTTCTCCCTAGACTTGGAGAATGAAATACCTTCCATATTTCTCCCCAAAAGTACACAACTAGAGTAATCGTGGTAACACTGTTTAATCTTCATTCATTTACCCTCTTTTTTCTTCATTTTTTTTTCTAAAGGAGCACAGAGTGAACTGATATTATATTTACTCAATAAAGTGTTGTATTCTCCTGCATAAAAGAAATGGCACTTGGAAAATATTAGTTGATACTTCAATAAAATTACAAATATGGACAAATCACACTCAGTAAAGGTTTACAGATGAAAATAAATTTCAGAATATGCTAGCTTGTTGCTAAAAGTGTAATATAAACTTTAAAAAAATATACCAAGCCAGGTGAATTTTATGAGGAAAACAAAATGGTAAAAATCACATAGGCTGACGGTTATCTGTTACTTTCTAAAGTTAAAAGATAACATTCAACGTTTCAATCAAATCTCTGATGCTTTTAAATCATGCTTTGCCTTACTGTTAAAATCTGTGTTAATTAGTGAATATCATAAGATTAAAAAAAAAGAAGATATTTGTAGCTAACTGCTTGTTGCGTTTATTTTGCTTGTCAGTATACATACATCAGTAAAATAAAACACATCCACTGGATGTAAATGGAATATCTCTTTTTTTCAAATCCTTGATAGCAACTATTCTTTCAAAGAATAGTTGCTGTTACGGGTTTTAAAAAAAAAGAGTGATTCTTCTTTCAGCCAATGGATAAGTGTATAATTACTCAAGTTTAGAAACATACTTCATTGTACAGTGCTCTACTTATTCCATGATTCCTAAGCATCAGATTATATGCGCACAATGAAATACACACATAAAACTCTGTACGATATTCTAAACATAATTCACACAATAGAACTTTAGCCAAGACTTTCATTAAAAAATCATTTCATTTACAAGTTCTTTCACAAATCAACTGTTACTGTTGTAAATGCACAATATATATATTTATATTGATGTGGATTGTCCATCGGAACTTTCAAACAAAATACCCGGATCAGCTTCTACAACCTGTTGATAATCATTTACAGGGGGTTTACATTGTAGATCCTCTTTATCAAATCCGGTCACTTTTACTCCACTGCTAGGATTATTGTATATGTTTGGTTCTATCCTTACGGAATCACGTGATCCCATTGCAGGGTCTTCTGGGAAATAATTATACGGTAACAGAAAGAAACTGAGGTCCATGCCTGGCGTATGGGTTACCGGGAGATCCTCTGTATGGGGGATGTGCTGGACTCCCATACTCACCCAAGCAACCAAATCCTGCAAAGAAACAGCAATAAATGTACTTATGGAATTACAAATTTAAAATTTACAGCACGTATACAAACGCAGAATGATATTTGGACCCTTCAAAATTATGGGATTAAATATATTCTATAATAAGGTTAAAATTATTTTATAATATCTGTTTAATTATTTAATTTTATTAGTCAGTGCAAGTGAACTATGAGATACGGCCTTGCCTAAAATCATATGATTTATCTGTAAGTTGTCAACAACAACCATTTGGAAAATAGAATGTACAGTTATGGACATGCACAACGTGGTTTTGAACTTTATTTACTTATTCCCTGTTTAATTTAAGAATTCCGATAATTGAAGGACTGCTTTATTAGTCCCCTACCGGTGAAACCGGAGGGGACTATAGGTTTCCTCTGAGTCTGTCCGTCTGTCTGTCTGTCCGTCTGTCTGTCTGTCTGTCTGTCTGTCTGTCTGTCTGTCCCTCTTTCTGTCTGTCAGTCTGTCCCACTTGGTTTTCCGCACTTTTTTCCTAAACGCTTGCAGATATTGAGCTGATTTTTGGTATGTGAGTGTATCTTGATGAGTTACAGATCAAGTTTGCATTTTGTTCCGCTTCATTGATTTTTGACGGGATTACGGCCTTTTCAATTTTTAGGGGTTTTCCGCAATTTTCTTCTAAACGCTTTCAGATATTGAGCTGATTTTTGGTATGTGACTTTACCTTGATAAGTTATAGATCAAGTTTGCATTTCGCCTCGCTTCATTGATTTTTGACGGAATTATGGCATTTGCAATTCTTAACGGGAACCAGATTACACTTGCCGGTTGGGGACTAGTATTGCTAATGCAATACTTTCAGAATGCTTGTTTTATTATGCATAATGATGCTACAAATTTTGAGGAAAAACTTGTTAAAACTTGTTAAAACTATTTGTTTGATTAAGTTTTCTTTGAAAATCACAAGGATTTTCATCATTTGATATTTTCAAAACCCCTGGTAATGAATGTTGATTTTTTTTAATCTAAGAAAATCTAATTGTACTATGCTTGTATATCAAAAATATAGTTAAAAATTATCGGTGGCAAAGGTATATAGAAACTCTAATTAAGGCCCGGGAACGATTTCAAAATCTTACTATGAGTGACCTTCAATTTTGGGATATGACATTCAGTCTAGATTATAACTCAGCTTTGAGGACATGGGCAGCAACAGACAAAACTATGAATTCTTCCAGTAGCTTGGGAGTGAGTTTTTATGAAACAGACAAGTAGACAGGTAGACAACATGGAGAAAGTGATATGTCCATTAGTTTTGAGAGACATACGACCCAGACAAGATTTTATAGTACAAAACCATGTAAAATGCAGTGTTTTTCCTCCCGTATTGGGAAAATCTAAATTCTGTAACATTCACATGTTGTTGACCAGTTTACTCACGTGTTTCCTAAGGCATATGCTATCACTAATTCATGATAAAATACTTTATACCTAAAACAAAAACTCACCTCATCTACAATATTTTCATTGTCATTTAAGAAGTCGTCAAAATTGACAACTGGTGATTTGGCATCCAAATCACTATATATAGAACTGCATATCCTTTCATTTTCTTTCCGTTTGGTGACTGCCATTTGATAGCGCATCCAGGCCATCGCCGGTTCATTTCCCTCGCCTTCTGGTAGCAGTTGTTTACTCATTCCTCTACTCAATAGTCTGTATGATCTAGGAACGCCAAATTTGTTATTTTTCAAGTTGGTGTAAAATAAGTGGTACTTTGGGGTTTCAAAATTAAATTTGTATGCAGCTTCTCTTTCCGTCTTTTTCTCAGAAACCACGAACTGACCTTGAACAATTTTTGCATTAGGGTCTGGATTGAATCGGTTGGCAGAAGCTTTAGTGGAAATGTCCAGAGTTCTATAGCGGTTGTGGGGCCCCTCAATATCTATATCTACTTTATAGCTAAACATGTGATGGTGTAGGTTACCATTGATGTTTTCGCTCACCTGTACACCAAAGTTCGCAGCGTTGGTGGTAAACGGGGTGGCTAGTATGTAACCAGTTGACACTATTTTAACTTCCACTGCCCCGGTATGGTAGAATATAAAGTCAAGGAGATAGCTGTAATTGACCACTGTAAGGATTGATCTCAGTATAAGAATAGTATTTGGCAGTCCTTCATAAAATGCGCCATGGAATGGAGAGAAAGAGTGATGTGTTCGAAGAGGCATCCCTGTGTTGATTTCAAACACACAAAAAGAGTTTTTGTATGTGATCATCTTTTCAGAGGATTCCAGTACATGGGAAGCAGGCATAAATGTGGCATGGGAAGGGCAATCTACGCCTGGAACCAACCCTTTATCCTGGGGACCAATTAAAGCGGTCGAATCAAAATAATTTCCAAACATCTGTGTTGGTTTATATCCGGAGTAAAAAACACTTATTTCTTGTAAAGCAAGTTCGTAGACAATTCTTTTGTTTTGAAAACGGATATCATATAGCTGTGGGCCCCGAGTACTAGACATTCTGAAGTCAAATTCCCAGTTCATGTATTTCACATGCTGACCTTCTACACTGTATCTGCGACCATCTGGTTCGATAGAAATGGGTGGACGTTGTGATGTTTGTGGGAATTCGGTACCACGTCTGTATAATCTGGAAAACAGAGTCTCGGACAGCTCGGGAAAAAGTAAGTGTTTCTTTTGCAATTTGTCCTCATTGTATTGTTTAACAAGAGAGTCAAGGGTGTCAAAAGAATGGTCATTGTACCATACTTTCACAATCGAATAATTTGGATCATCCATATCGACTAGCACAGCGAAGTCAACAGGATGGAGAATGTAAAATTCTACAAACTGAGACATCCAGAACCAGTATAAACGTCGTTCTTGTCCACTGACTGCAGATGACATCATTGATACATATTTATAAGCAAGACAAGTTTCACCACAATTTGTAAGTGACCCACCAAAGCTTTCTTGTAAAAGTTGGCGCGCTTTTCGATCAGTCTCCAGTGTGATTTTTTCTATAGCACCACCATAATCTGGACCAGTAATAGGGCGGTACTGGAAAGGAATGTCATCCTTCCAGATCGTGTAATGAGTGGGATTAGGGAGCGGAGTGACGACTATCTCCATAATTTTTGGTATGAGTAAGTCTCCCCGAAATATTATAACCCGCGCTTGTCTTGGTGGTTGCCGCTCAGAATCACTATCAAGAAAATAAGTTGCGTCTGCTTTATCAGGTAGATGGAGTTCTGCTGTAAATATGTACGACGATCTAACTTGGGCTTCTGCAGGTCTTGTTAAATTAAGATCTTTTTGTTCAAATAAGAACCCCATCATTCCTTTAACTTCCTTGGAAGTTAAATCATGAAACATTGATGGATTACTCGGCTCCGATAGATCAACAGTCTGGCCTGATGAACAAGGCGGAATCTTCTCAAATTTCTTCATGACACCCACCACTATAACTATGATTAACAGAAGAAGTATTATAATTCCTGCTGCAAACACCATGATGCGGAAACGGCCGATTGCCCGTCTGTGTTTTTCAGACTTTTCTTCATTGTGTACCTCTGGTTTGTCCTCTTTCTGATTGTCAAGAGGAACATTTTCCTGGTTGTTGTCAATGTCGGAATCAGTGTTTCTGCAAGACAAGAAAATAGAAGTATAAGAAAAGGCTTCTGGGCTTCTGGGCCACAATGCTCTCCTTAGTCACTTTAGTCGTACTGTTTTTTTTTCAAAAGATTCTTAACTGAGATGAGATAACTGAGTCACCCAGGTGGCCTTCTGTTATCTGTTTTTGTCCGTTGTTGTGAATTAATATTTGAAATTTCAGCTTCTTCTCTGGAGCCACTGAACTAATTTTAATCAATTTTGGTATCAGGCTTGGGGTAATGATAAACGTAATGATTATGCATTGCAACGTATTACTTTAAATCGAAGTAATGCTAGTTACGTGTAATGACAAAAATGTGCATTACATTTAATGGTAACGTTACGTTCTAAAATTTAGTGTATATATATTTCATTAAATTAATTAAAATGAATTAAACATTTTTATTTACTTATTTACATTCAAATACAGTTTTACTTCAATAATATCTGTTTGAACAGAGACTTAACAGTTATTTATTTCTCTAATTCAATTTACTAGTAACCGCTTGGCATTTAAATTTTCATGCTTATTTTAGGCAGGCCTTGTTTCCAAAGAATACTCAATAGACTTTAAATATTCTTTAAAATTGCTATGAGGGTTATACTGATTAAAGGTCCACTGTATCACAAGACACACGATGCCTCAAGACTATGCAACAATCCAAATAATGTACATGTACTCTTTCGAAAAGTGCTCAACATACTAATCTTTTTCTCCTTACTGTATATTCACTTGGTCACTTGGTATATTCATTTGGTTTCTTTACAAATCTTCTTGACTCCTGAACATTAAGCAGTAAAATTGTTGTCATTATTATGATGAGCATTGAGTCCTCTACCAAACAGGGGCGTAGCTTGACTTTAAATTCTAGTGAGGCAAAACCATAGAGGCAGGGAGTATGGGGCGAAACAGGTCCAGGGCAGTGCCATGATGGGGGGGGGGGTTAGAGGGGGAGCACCACACACCCCTCCGGACATAAAATGGATTTTAGGGTTTAAAATGCAAATATCAGACTTGTCCTGCACAGAATTTTAGTTAATTTTACCGGTTTCATATCGTGGATATGATACCACACATTATTAAATTATTTAAAAGAGCATCGTCAGAAACCCACGAGGTAGAAGCTAGACCGACCGCAGGTTTCTGACGAGGAAAATGAGTTAATAACTATGTTTACTAAAACTTGTAACACATTTTAAGATGAATGCACGTTTTCTTTAACTTTGTTTTTAATTCGTCAAAACTATAACTGTCAAACATTTTTCAATCTTAATATTTTCCAATCATTACCTACTTGAAGTTTTCAGTAATGGAGGAAGAGCCCGAACCTTGATGATATGAACATACATTATAAAATTGGTTAAATCATAATTTTTACAAGATATTTTCTGCAATGTATTATTAACTATGGGAGGGAGTGGTGGTGGTGGTTAAAAATCTAGTGAGGCAGTTGCCTCATTGCCACAATGGAAGCTACGCCCCTGCCAAAATTTTGAAATTCATAGCCCAAAGATCACGGGGTGGGCTCTATAGATTTATAATGAAAATGCATTAATTCTTTGAAAATCTTTTCTTTTTCTTGATATATAGCAAACAAACTGCATGGTCATAATGAGCAAGAGTGCTTCTTTCAAAATTGTGAAATTCGTGGCCCCAGGGTCAATGGTTCTGGAATTAGAGTGTTATTTGTTTGTAAAGTTTTCATCAGTTTGTAGTGGGTTTTATGTAAAGGGTCTGTTCTTCATAATTGTGCATTAATTAGATGATTTTTTATAACCTAGAAGGAAGGGGACACAGAGTATATGTTGCATATCGTGTTAATTATGGATATTTGCAAGGAATTTGGAGTCCCATTGGCTGATGAGAAAACCGATATTCCTACAACGGTTATTAAGTTTTTACTTTCGGTGATTGACAATAATAAAAACAAATCAGGATCACAAAGGATAAAGTAGATAGGATATCAGTTGCATTGTTAAAAATACTAAGAAGAAATAGGTTATGCTTAAATATTTGCAGTCTTTAACAGGGCTACTTAATTTTTGTTCAAAGGTGTTTTCTTCAGCAAGTGCATTTAAAAGATAGACAGGGTCAGTAGGGATATGAAGGAAGAGATCAGAATTTGGTAAATTTCTTCGAGAATTTCAGTGATGACTGTTACTTTCAGAGTTAGATTCGTACTCTGATGTAAATTTGCATTTGTATACTGACAGTTTAGAGTCTTCAGCTATGGGTGACTTTACTTTTTAGGGCTTTGCAAATATTGGGATCTATGTCTGCTTCAATCAGATTATGTAGATTGAACAAATTCCCTAACAGAGTTCTTCTTTATCTTGCTTCAACAATTGTGCATAAATAATTTAATTGAATTAAAAATTTGATTTTTGATCAATGTACAGCAAACCCAACTGAATGATGTTGTATTTATGTATTGAATAAAATATGATTTTAACCCCAGTAAGAGTTATTTAAATAAATTTTAGACTTGCCTTGGGATAAGTTCATTTCACTCAGCGCAACCAGGTTACTTTGCTTGTACTATATATTTGTCTTAAATGTGTTAAAATACTTTGTTATTTAACTTGAGTATCAAAAATATCAAATGGATGGCACCTTAATATCAGCTATTTGAAGATAGCAGAATTATAAATGGCTTATATTATAAAGTTGTTTAATTACATATACATGTATATTTTACTTTTACTAGTATTTTATTTGGCTTTGAATTACCCTAACAATGTTCCCCTAAATCTATTTTCTCCCATTTTGATAATTCATTGCAGTTTAAATGATTTGTAAGCAATTGTCATAAATAACCTAGCTGGTTCAAAATGTTCTCTTGATATTACATGATATGATATTGTTAACCTAACAACAAAGCTTTATGATAAACGTGATGACTTCAACTTTTTAATCGTCAACTTCCCTTACTTATGTAGCAATATACCCTTATCACCTGCATATGGGGTTTATGTCTCTTAGTTGATTCGATACGCAAGAGCATGCTCTACGTATGAACAATTTCTAAAACGAAGCAAGCTATTTACAAACAAGTTGACGAAATCAGGATATCAACAGTCATCTTCTCGCAAGTTTTTTGGTCGATACAATGACCTTGTCAGCACATTCAGCCTATCATTGGGTCAAATACTCACTGACGTTTTTCATACTAATTGTTAGGCCATTATTTATACACTGAACTGTCTACGGATTTTTCCGGTTTTTTGTTTCCCGATCATGAAAAGAAGCACACGGCGGTTGTGACCGGTCGGCAGGGGATGCTCACTCCTCCATGGCACCTGATCCCACCTCTTAATTTTGAGATCCGTGTTTGCTTTCTTCCAAATTTGTATCGTTTCATTGGATTCTCGAGATTGGATACTGTTCGTTATCTTCATATTTCATTGTACAACAATTTAATTTCCTTGATGAAATATCTTTGTTTTTTTGTTTGTTTGTTTGTTTGTTAAAACAGTTTTTGTAAGTTTATTTAGTGTGCAAATTTAGAACTACTGTATATGTAAATGTAGTGTTGAGTCCAAAATAATGTTTTGTGATATTAGTCCCCTCATCCTGTGATTATGATTACAATGATTTGTTATGTTAGTTCCCTCATTTTTTCACATATGAATGCAATGATTTTTAATACCAGTATTAGTCCCCTCAGTTCGTGACATATGATTGTAATTATTTAACAATTCATTATGTTGTGCATTAAAGATAATGGCTGATACCTGAATTTGCTGATATTTGAAATTAAAGGATTATGCAAAGTTACTACTAAATGATATTTTTTATATTTTTTATTTCTTCAATTTTTTTAATGATTACAGGAATATTTTAGTCTCTACCCAACAAATGTTTTGAATATTAAACTAATTATTATCATCAAACATATTAAATTTATATATATGTAATTTCGAATTCATCTTCAAGAAGTATTGCAGTAGTCTTTTGTGAAAAAAAAATCATGAATATATTTACCATGTTCTACTGTGTGGATATAGAAAGAAGTCTTTAAAGTTCACTGACCCTCTAATAAGAGAGATAACTCTCATTATCAAGTTAAAGTGCAATTCCACTCAAATTTTGCCCGGTAAGGTATGCTAAAATTGTGTGAATTTTACTTGTATAAATTTGATATCTTTAGGAAAATTGTTAGCGATAATTAAAAATTTTATATAAGGGACGATGAACTCAAAAGGTAAACCCCTCACAATTTAGATTTTTCTATTGATTCCATGCAATGACATAATTTTTGTTTCATATGCTGATAAAAAGAGTTTTCTGTAATATTTGAAAGTTACATTTTTAAAAAAAGTGATTATCTTAAAATATGCAATATTTTGGAAAGAACATAAACTGCAATTTGATTAATTGATTTTATTTTTTTTTTTCGTTGATGACATCGCTAGTTGATCGACCTTTACAATTTAAACTGCGCAGTTGATAACAGAAGTCCTGTATTTTGCCAGTATCAATAACTAATCCAACCTCAAGTATATGATAATGGGAAGAGTATAAGATTAGAAATATTGTTGCATCTTTTAATTCATTTTTTGCAGAGGACAGACTTCCTATTCTTTAATTTTCTATCTGCATATAATGCCTGGGTGACTCAGTGAACTTTGTGGCCCTTGGGCCTCTTTTTAACTACTGTTTTCTAAAAGTCAAAAGAACGACTTTTCCGAGTCGTAATAACCAATCTTATTTAGTGATTACGACTTCCTTCAGTCGCAATAACGATTTTTTTGTGTAACTACTTTCTTCAATCGTAATAACTTTTTATATCGTTATTACGTCTTTTATTTCTTAATTCCTTAATGAATTATATATTTTTCAATTGTGCTTTAAAATTCCAATTATAGATTCAATAATGGATTCGTGAAGAATCAGAACTTCATATAGACACTGTACGGAGCAATATTGTGCTGCGATATCTCTTAATTAAATAAGTCAAGAAATCTGATGACGGAACTGTTTTAAGATATGTAGGAAATCTTTAATTAATAAAATACAAAATATGAAAAAAATTCATAGATTTTTTTTCCAGCTCAAGGTGTTCTTCCTCCTTAAAATGGTTGATATGACACACATTTATTGTATACTAAAACGACTATCTTTACTTTATGAGATACTAATTTATACATCAGCATCAAAATAGCCAAATTTCTATAGGATTTTTACATTGTCGTCAATCGCAACTTCTCGAACATTTTTGACCAACAGAAATACATTTCTGGGCTTGTCGGAAAAGGCAGAGATGATGCCATTGACCTTTTAAAGAACTATCAACGTTCATTTAGGGGCTTATATAATGTTCACATATGTAAAATCTTATGTGTAAGAATTTAATGGGAGATAAACTCTCTGCCAAATTATCTGACAAAATTTTAAGTGGATCTAGGTTTGCGGTTATAAATAAGATCAATGATAAAGGGGTTATCATAAGAGATGTGGCTTAAAATTAGGATAACTGTTCTAAACAAAAAATATTTAACAAAATTTTCATACTTTTCAAATTGTTCTAAAGAATTGACCCCTTTGAGCAAAAGAATTATTCATCTGCAAGTTAAAATTGTATCGACGGCGTAAATTTCATCCTTGTTTTTCAGAGGGAATTGCTATGGCCTTTACGTTTCTCATTCATTTGCGAATTTCTGATATGCTAAAGAACATTAAAACAATAAATAAAAAAAATTGGTTATAAAAATTATTTTCAATGGAATTCCGCATAGGGAGAGAGGGCTACGTATACCCGTTCCATCGTCGGATACATACGCTTGATCTTGTCTTTAACTCATCAGCTTATTAATGAGTAAAAGATGAGATTCACGTTGGTCTCTGACGATGCATCCGTCAATAAGAAAATATTTTTTTCAAAAAATCTTGAAGGTTGAGCTACTAATTGCGACTCTAATGATATGATTTAACTGACTTTTCATGTTAAGAAAGGAGTTCTGGAAGTATCCTTAAAGGTTTTCATACGTTACAATACACACATGAAATTAACCGTTCCTTGGGTTGCTATTAAAAATCTGATTGTAATCTGAACGTAGATTCCTATGAATAATTTTTAATTGTTTTGAATCCCGAGAAAAAAATTATATACATGAATAATTAAGCAGATTTACCTTTCACGACTTCTCCGCCTCATTGTGTCTTTATCTTTACCTCCAAATCTATGAAGATCCGTTCAAGTATTTTTGAGTGGTTTTTTTTCTGATATAAGGAAAAAAAAGTTTATTACATGTAATACAAACAATAATTAGTGATATCAAGGATTCGATATCAAGAAGTAATTTTTCTGATGGTTAAAAAAATCGACTTTATGTGAAAAATATATTTTCTGAAATTATTTTCCGAAAAAGAAATGAAATTTATGATATCAGCAATTATGTTTTTCTAAAAAAAAAATCAACGTTAGATATATATATATATAAAAAAAACCCCAGTCTTTAATATCAGAAAATGTGTTAAAAATACTACAACTGTGCCTTATCAAAAACAGTTGATAAAGCTACACATGTCATGTGATAAATGATATCTTTTATGATGATGGTTTTGTCCATAGTGACTTATTGCAGATAGGAGAGATAAATTCTCAGTGCATGAGGTACTATAGTTAGTACTTAGAATTATGAGTTCCTTTCTGTAGAACATACTCAGTAACTTATTTGAGATAACGTTGTTAAAATATATTTTAAGTTGTTTATTTCTTTTCATCTAAACGAAAATTATAGGGAAAATGTAAACAACGAAGAAAAATGTTCTTCCTCCGAAATAACAATAAATGCTTGCCTGAATGACAGATATACAGATATATTTGCAATGTTTTGTTAAGTAACACTAGAATATTTTTTTTTTACTTTGATTTAAACTATATCTAGCTGATCAATCAATTTTTAATATATATCTGTTAAAATGAAACATAAATCGTATCAAAATTAATTGTGTGATCCTGCAACATATGCAGATAATTTTGAGCCCTCTTCAAATTTTCATTCTGTTGTGAAGGCAACGATCAAGGTTGCAACACTTCATCAATTCATGCCATTTTTTCTGCTCATGAATTTTAGGAAAAACTCATCTTTTATATTGTACCCATTTAGTAAATATCTTGTTTAATCTCAACGCCTCCATGATTTCATATTTATCAAATATATATTACACATTTTTGCATATAATAATAGAATATTTTTCTTTTTATTAAAGGAATTTTTAAAATGGAGAAGTTATTTTGATTTTCTTTCTGAAAATGAGCATGCCTTCCAAAATTCTAAATTTTTGCTCGATCATAACAAAAAACAAGGGCGGGTGTGACTGGTCGACAGGTGGGGATGCTTATTCATCTATGGCACCTGATCCCACCTCTGATAGTTTTAGAGGTCCGTGTTTCCTCTGCTTCCCATTTGTATTCTTTCAATAGAATTTGGGTTCGATATGTGTTCGTTTTCTCCATTTCCATGTGATATTCTTTCAAACCTTGACAAAATGTCACTTTATTAAAAAATATACTTACATTATTCCACTGTTGAAAATATTATAATAAGAAGTAAACCATAGACATATATTTTGAAATATCAAGAAAATGTCTCATTATTTGTCATTTTCCATGCTAGTCTTTTTATGAGTTTTCTAAAACTTTGAAAACAGTTTTATAAACATTCCATTCAATTTGTTAACTTTGGTATACAGTTAGGGGCTTGGCACTCCATTTTTAAGAAACGCACTAAAACTGTCAATCTGTTTTTCAACATGAAGGGAAAAAGTTTTTTTTTTTACTATGATCAAAATTAATCAAGAGTTTTTGTGAGAAAAGCTTCCGAATCTTACAATTAATGGGAAAGTATGATTCGTCATTTATCCTTTATTCTATCGTTAAATTTTTAAAAGACAAAAGATGATTGTCACACTTAAGACAATGAAACAATTTAATTTTCTTTCAAAATGACCGGAATTGTTTTTATCAAATTAAAAAAAAAAGTTCATAATTTTTGTAAATATTAAACAGTGAATCACTTCATTATTTGTCATTTTCTATACTTGTCTGTTAGTATAAAAGGAAACAGTCTGCATCGAAATACATTATTATGTAATTATTTTAACATTTTGTTTTCTATCATAAACTTTTCCAACTAAAATGTCAAATTCACACATGTAATGTTGCAGTTTGTCTGTGCATTAACTAACAAAACTAATATTTTGTGAATTTATATTTGTTTCTTATGGTTAATTTATGTTTGCTTTTCCAATTGTTTTTCTTTGAACGTTAGGTGAGTTGATTTCTCGATAATTACAATTGAATGTAAATTTCGCCAAGTGAGTCAAGTGCCTAATATGCATGCAAATCTCTCGCGGCTGTGTGTCTGACGTTAGGGGGGGGGGGGATTTGGAAATTAACATGGAATGTCTGATACATTTTGAATCTATTAGACAGCATTTTAAAATTATATTTACACTTTTATTTCACATATAAATGTAAATATAAGGAATCACTGTCTTCTTTTTTTTTGGATACTGGTATGCCAGGGACATCAACGACAGTTGGAAACGTGAGATAATTTATGCATAAAGGGCGAACAATCCCATTTTTCCAACCATCGTCGATGCACTGGCATACACAACAAACTAGGCAGTGATTCCTCAATTATACATAAAATTTCAGTTATTTTAACATTTGTTAAACTAGATGCTGTCATAAGACAGTTATACATGCAAAAGAGTGTTTGCCTCTAAAACATTTTCTCCGTTTTTTCTCCAGGGTAACTAGTGAAGAAGTAATAATACTTTTTCCATAATTAATTTAAATATATGTGTATCAAATTGAGCATAAAATGTTCAGGTGAGTTTGCGGCCCATGGGTCTCTTATGTTAGTGTTCCATGCGATAAATTCATTACCCGTCTGACACTGAAGAATTTAATAAAGCATAAGTTCTGTTTAAAAAAAGGAGTTTTATATTTTAAAAAAAGTTTAAAAAGAAGTTGTATTTTTACCCCTATTGGCCCCTAGATGACAATGAAAACTCCGAAGCCTTATTATTTATGGGACACCATCAAAATTGTTCTAACAGTTGATCTGGCTACTCAGTAAAATGTAAGAGAAATTCCAGGAACATGCTTTTGTAGAGGACTTCCGGGGAACCAGGGTTTTGCAGAAAAATTTCGTTTTTGAAACCCGTTCCCCTATAAAAATGAAAATTTTGAAACCTTAATGTACATCTACAGGACACCACCAATCATATTTCAAAAGTTAAATTGGCTATTGCGTAAAATATAAGATCTCTTGGGACAGGTTTTCGTAGAAAAATGACGTTTTGTACGCCAATTAACCCCCAAGGTAAAATGAAAATTTAAATACCTTATTGTACATCAACAGGACACCACTAATCATATTCCAAAAGATTATTTGGCCACTGCATAAATTGTAAGAGGAATTTGAAGAAGATAGTGTTACAGACGGACGGACAATCCATTAGCTAATCTCCTGAAATTCTTATCAGAGGGAACTCAAACTACATTGCTGGAAAAGAACTTCAGTCTCTGAAGGTAACTTAATAACCGAGGAGTTTCCAACATCACAATCAGTATATGTATACATACATACCTAAACGACTCTTCATTTATTACTGCTGCTGGGGATTGAGTTAAAATCTAAATACACGTACCCACTGATTTTCTTTTCTTTTTTTCAAGCAAAATATTCGCACCAAAACAATTCTCAATTTACAAAGACGACTCACAAAACATGTTTTGACATGTTTTCCTTAGATTTCAAACAAAATACCCGGATCAGCTTCTACAACCTGTTGATACTCATTTACAGGGGGTTTACATTGTAGATCCTCTTTATCAAATCCGGTCACTTTTACTCCACTACTAGGATTATTGTATATGTTTGGTTCTATCCTCACGGAATCACGTGATCCCATTGCAGGATCTTCTTGGAAATAATTATATGGTAACAGGAAGAAACTAAGGTCCATTCCTGGGGTGTGGGTCACTGGAAGATCTTCTGTATGGGGGATGTGCTGTACACCCATACTCACCCAAGCTACCAAATCCTACAAGAAAAAGCAACAAGTTCACACTTTATAGAAATTCACACCGAACTCTATATAATTTAACAAAATATGTGAATTAACCAAAGGGAAAGGGAGAAAGATCATTAGCAGATCTATAGACCAGTTACTACATGTAACTGGTCTATAGATGTATGTGTTTTAGATTTAAAATCTGATGCTAATTAATGACAAAAGATTACCAGTTTTTGTTATATTTGCTCTCCGTTATACTATGATAAACTGGTTTTGGAAGAAAAAAAAACTTTAGGGAAAAAAAAGAAATAAGAATTTCAACCTGTATAAGCTATGGCTCAATGAGTCAACACCGGTAGACAAAACACAATGTTTATTTTTGAATCTATCAAATCAAGAGTCTGACAGTTAATAGGTATGGAAATGGTTTGTGAGTGAATGTCGGACAAATAATTAAAAGAAATCAAACCAATATATTTTCTTGTTGGACAAACATCAGACCCTAACAGTATTTTATTACAGACAACCAGATTCTAACACATTTCCCTTCAATGTGAGACATATTTTAGCTTTGATTTCAATTTTTTCATACCATTTTAATGTCACTTATTTGTAGTAATAAAACGCTCACCTCGTCGACAATACTTTCATCATCTCTCAAGAAGTCCTCAAAATTAATAACAGGTGATTTGGCGTCCAATGCACTATATATGGAACTACATATTCTTTCATTTTCTTTCCGTTTTGTGACTGCCATTTGATATCGCATCCAAGCCATGGCCGGTTCGTTTCCCTCGCCTTCTGGTAACAGTTGTTTACTCATTCCTCGACTCAGTAGCCTATACGATCGTGGAACACCAAACTTATTATTTTTCAAGTTGTTGTAAAACAAATGATACTTTGGGGTATCAAAATTAAACTTGTATGCAGCTTCGCTTTCGGTCTCCTTCTCAGAAACCACGAACTGACCCTGGACAATTTTTGCATTAGGGTCTGGATTGAAGCGGTTGGCAAAGGCCTTTGTGGAAATGTCCAGAGTTCTATAGCGGTTTTGAAGACCTTCAATGTCTATATCTACTTTGTAGCTAAACATATGATGGTGAATGTTACCCTTGATGTTGTCGCTTACCTGTACCCCAATGTTTGAGGCGTTGGCTGTAAAAGGGCTGGCAAGTATGTAACCTGTTGACACTATTTTAACTTCCAGGGCTCCGGTATGGTAGAATATAAAGTCCAGAAGATAGCTGTAATTGACCACTGAAAGGATTGACCTCAGTATAAGAACAGTATTGGAAAGTCCTTCGTAAAATGCACCTTGGAAAGGAGAGGAAGAATGGTGTGTTCGAAGCGGCATTCCTGTGTTAAATTCGAAAACACAGAAGGCGTTTTTGAAGGTAACTATTTTTTCAGAGGATTCCAATACGTGGGAAGCGGGCATAAATGTGGCATGCGAGGGACAGTCAACACCAGGGACTAACCCCTTATCCTGAGGACCAATCAGAACAGACGAATCGAAGTAATTTGCAAACATCTGCGTAGGTTCATATCCAGAGTAAAACACACCTATTTCCTGAAGAGCAAGTTCATAGACAATTCTCTTGTTTTGGTAACGAATATCATAGAGTTGTGGGCCATGAGTACTAGACATTCTGAAGTCAAATTCCCAGTTCATGTATTTCACGTGTTGACCTTTTACAACGTATCTACGACCGTCTGGTTGTATAGGAATGGGTGGATCCTGTGACGTTTGTGGAAACGCATTACCTCGCCTGTACAACCTGGAGAACAGAGTCTCAGACAGATCCGGAAAAGGTATAGATATCTTTTTGAGTTTGCCTTCATTGTATTCTTTCACAAGAGAGTCCAGGGAGACAAATGTTTGCTCATTGTACCATACCTTCTCAATGGAATAATCTGGATCGTCCATATCGACTAACACAGCGAAGTCAACAGGGTGGAGAATGTAAAATTCTACAAACTGAGACACCCAAAACCAGTATAGACGTCTGTCTCGTCCACTGACTGCAGATGACATAACTGTTACATATTTATAAGTAAGACATTTTTTGCCACAAAATAGTAATGAACCACCAAAGCTCTCTTGCAAAAGTTTTCGCGCATTTAGTTCAGTCTCCTGGGTGATTTTCATTAATGCACCACCATAATCTGGACCAGTAATAGGGCGGTACTGGAAAGGAATGTCGTCCTTCCAGATCGTGTAATGTGTGGGATAAGGGAGTGGAGTGACGATTATTTCCATAATTTTTGGTTTGAGTAAGTCTCCCCGAAAAATTATCACCTTTGCCTGTCTAGGTGGTTTCTTTCCAGAGCGACTATCAAGAAAAGAAGTGACATCTGCCTTGTCAGGTAGATGGAGTTCTGCAGTAAAAATGTAAGATGAACTCACTTTGATACTTGCAGGTCTTGTCAAATTAAGATCTTTTTGTTCATATAGGAATTCCATCACTCCTTCCACTTCCCTGGAAGTTAAATCATGAAATATTGATGGATCTATTGGTTCTGATAGATCAACTGTCTGACCAGAGGAACATGGCGGAGGCATTTTCTGTTCCATTTTCTTCATGACACCCACAACTATAACTATGATTATTAGGAAGATTATTATTATCCCTGCTGCGAGCACCATGATGCGGAATCGGCCGATGGTTCGTCTGTATTTTTCAGATTTTTCTTCATTGTTAGTTTCTGGTTTGGCCTCGTTCGTGTCATGAAGAGGAACAGATTTCTGATTTATATCCATGGCAAGACTGGAGTTTCTGCAAGACAAGAAACCATTTACAAAAAAACCCCCAGTTTTTATTCAACCATAAAGTCTCCTGCTTCATTGTTATTTGAATTGGTTCTATTAACCAGTGACCTTCGATTTACCCAAAATAATTTTTTCCATGGACTAATCACGGTCATCTTTTAATCAATATTTTAAATAGCTCTGGAGATCATTTATTTAAAATGATCGGAAAACTAACGACGTCCTAGGGGTGACACAAACTGTATTGAATATTCGCCAGTCTAATGTATGTAGGTGATTGGGAGGCAAAGTGTTCTCTGATCGGAAAACATTTGATCTAGGAACATAAAAAAAGACTACACACGTATTTCTATTCTGTACGGATACAAAAGCCTAGGTTAAGTCATGACAAGTTGATGTCCATTGCAATTGAGGCATATTATCATTTTTATTGTCGGTCTAACAGCATTTGTTTTACACATTCAAGGTACTTTGGATCAAATACTAGTTAAAGAAATATTGACATTGAAAGAATTACAAAAACTAAAAACTTATTTAATTCATCAGGAGTTTTTTTTTTAAAAAATCTTCATCGAACTAGTTAAGTTTGAAAATTTTGTAAATCTGGCAAGGCAACTCGCTTTTTTCAGATGATTGAAATTTTTAACACATTTGAAAGCATCATTGATTCAAAATTACTGCAGTGTATGTATGATGAATAAGAATTTCTTTATTCATTTCATCGATAACAACAGATAGATTGGTGTTACTTTTCAAGAATCATTTTGTCCGCTATTGTTTTCATTTTAAACATAATTTTTTTCTACTTTATGAATGGACATCTACGTGTTTTATGTCTTGTCTCTGTGCATTTTTAAAAATTCAATTCTGATATTGTATTCGTCTCTATGTTTTTTTTCTTATAAAATATAAATAATCGACAGCAAATGAAGCAGTTATAAAGTTTATCGTAGGTTATTATACAATATGTATTGTCTTATCTTTGTGTATACATTTTACTATGTGTGCTTTTCTGTATTATTACCTAAAGAGATATATCAAATCAAGTAGCATGGAAATTGTATTTAAATATATCAACTTACCACCAACGTCCGGGAACAGTTAAAAAAAAAAGATCGAATACAACCTATATAAAAATGGAGAATGGTGCTTTTTTAACAAATAGGTCACAATGTCTAAAATTCAGTGTTTTTGTTTATATGCTGACAAACGATAGTAAACGCTTTATGCGCCACTGAGCAGAAGACACACATTGCCATATATTTCAGAGGTCATCAGCTGTAAATCTGAAACGCCTTATACATAGGTACAGAGGACAGATAGTAATAAGAAATTCTTCAACGGCGTTTTCAGATATTGTTTCTGATTGGACCCGCTCCTTTTACTCTTTGTTATTTTTTTGGGGGGGGGGGGGGCAGTAATCCATTGGGGCACAGTTATTGCCAATTTGGCATTCAGAAGTTTGGTAGACAGTGCAAATGCAGTTTCCAACTTACCGGACGATAATTCACTTTTCAATTTTTTATTTGCAATATCATATAAATTTAAGGTTAACAGCCAGATATTTAAAGTGACACCGTGACGGAAAAAGCGAAAATCGACAAAAGTAGAATTTGTGCATGACACATGCAAATTTTGTTCAGTTCTTGAAAGTATTAGGTTTCAGAAAATTACAGGTTTCAGAACCTAAAAATCTTCTTTAATGCAGAAAAATAAAAGTTAAAAAAAATCTTTATTTAACCCAACACAAAAATATTGCTTCACTTCTTCATCTTTATTGTACGCATGCGCTGAAAAGGTGAAGAATTGGTTTCAATTCCATAAATATAAATGTCGGATGACCGAGAATTTTTAAACAATCTTTAAAAAAGATGATCAGAACTTACTTAATTCTCACTTCTGCTTGCTCCAATTTAATGTTGTTTACAAGTTTCACGGTAAAAATAAAGGACGCGTGTCCTTGACATTGTGGACATTGACGATAAAAACAAAGCGATAGTTACAACATTTGTTTTTCCGGCACTTACATTTTGCAGCTTTTTTCTTGCTTTACAGTGCAGTTGAGTTGCCAAAACTTCACTATATTCATATTTCACATAAATCTTTTGTTTTGTGATTCCTGATTATGATTCCTGAGAGGCAATGTTGTTGATTGCAGTTAATCATATGCTGGTTCTTTCTTATGTTCATTTATGTAAAAATGAATCCTGTATATCGGAAAAATTTACGAAGACTTAATTCGCTAGCATCACCATATATTGTACTTATTGCATTAGGATTTCTTTATTGGTAGGTCTAGCGAAAGATGCCGTTGCTAATTTTCAAAAGAAAATCATACAGAGAGGGGTAACCCTTTGTATTCAATATTTTTCAAGTGTAAATACTTATGCATTGGGGAGTCAATTAAGAAATAAGGTATCATTTTTAAACATCTATCGGGATATAAATACGGGTTGGTCACGAGATCAAATTCCATAAAGCCCGAAGGGCTTTATGGTAAATTTGATCTCGTGCCAACCCGTATTTATATCCCGATAGATGTTTAAAAATGATACCTTATTACTTATATTTACATTTGTCACTTATTTATATTTTATATTTGCCTAATTATAATTTTTAACGTGTGAAGTGTTTTAATTTTCAAACTCAACGGCACGTGTCTAATCCACTGATTGCGCGTCGACCCTTTATGACGTCACTGAGAAATTACGTCGAACGTTTATGACGCGAGGAACCCGTGTTTATACGGATATAGATACGCATTGCTTTCAATAGTGTTATATAAGGGAAAGCATTTGCAAATGTAAATATATGAATTATAAAGAATAAAAGGGAAAAAGATTACTATCAAAAGTCTTGTCCTTTTTATGCACACCGTGCACAGCGTGGAAACAATCTTCACCAAAATATAGATACCTACAGGGGTTCAATGTGCCCCTGTCAAGTAACATAGGACAGATACTACAAATACTAGGAGTTAAAAACCCAATTCTGTGTATTAAACATACATATGTAGAACAGTAGATATGCATATATTTTACAGTCCTATTTTAATCAGACTGCAGAAAAAGTCAGTCTGAATTAAATTCAAAATAATGTCTTCATTCACTAGTATTTATTCCATGAAAATACTTTTATAGGCGTTATTTGATGGGAAGGATCCTCAACCCCTTCCATTCCTTTTGCTCTTCTTGGTTTTATTAAAAAAAAACTAGTCCTGTTTATAAATCGCACCTAGTCGCCCGCGTGGCGCAGTGGTTAGAGCGTCTGCTCTAGAGTCGCGGAGCAAGGAGTTGATCCTTACGTCGCATGTTCGAATCCCACTGCGGGACGTGTAGACCGGTCCTTCGAATGAGTCCGTATAAACTGAGGTCCCGTGTCGCAGTAGGTGCTGACACGAAAAAGATCCCTCACTGCTCAATGGCCCTGAGTGCCGAGTATAGGTCAAAATTTGTAGCCCTCCACCGGCAAGTGGTGGCGTCTCCATATGAGTGAAAAATTCTCGAGAGGGACGTTAAACAACAAACAAACAAACAAACAAATAAATCGCATCTAAAACGTGTCCGAAAAATGGAAATTAAAGTAAAATGATATAAATGTGTACTCTATTCACCACTGACTAGTGGTTGGGTTTCTATCATTTGTACAAACACAAGCTTGTTGTTATCTGTAATTCTATTACAATAAAACACAGCGATTTAAAATTCCTTAAAGACATACCATGAGATAAAGAAAGTGACGTAACAAGAAATTGACTGATAATTTTGAACCGTTTAGTGAATGTTCCGCACAGCAAAATTTCCCTGGAATAAAGCAAATCTTCCTCCCAGATACGCTACTAAAGAGTTAATCCCTTTATGCATATAGAATTATCCCATAGGATAGGATTTTATTAATCGATTAGATTGATTAATTGTATGTTGTTTTACGTCCCGTTCGAAAATTTTTCACTCATATAGAGACGTCACCATATACCGGTGCAGGGCTTCGAATTTAGACTTCACTCAGCACTCAGGACCATTGAGCAATGAGGGTTCTTAATCGTGCCAACGCCTACTCAGGTCAGTCGCGGCCGTCATTCGAACACAAGACCTTCCAATTACGTAGCGAGCGCTCTACCGACTGAGCTACAGTGACGGCTAAATCGATTAAATACATTCATCATGTTATGATTATTGATAACAATCAAAATTTAAATGATGGATGCACAAGATTTCGAAGTTAAAAAATGGTGTAATACTAGTATATTGCCTAAAATTCTGGTATTGAAGTATGGTTAAAGAGGTGTCAATATGTACCATATGTAAAGTTTTAACATCTACTGATGCCAATGGAAATATATTACATTTACGGATAAATGGTGGGTGAGAAATACTATTTAGCTAACTTCTTCCTCCGTGAGAAAAAAAGATAATTACTATCTAATCATAGTTTATAGTTAAAGTTATATTTATATATTAATATTTACATTTCCAATGTCTTTGTCTGAGATAAAATTTCAAATAGTAAAAATACTTTATTTCTACATAAATCTACTGGTTCATCGATAGGCGTAGTGAAAAAAAAAATCACGTGCGGGGCGGGACAAATAGAGACAGAAGCGGGGCTTGTAGCACGTGAATTTGCAGAATCAGGAGCATGTAAATATAAGGAATAACTGTCAGATTTTTTGGTTTCATGAAGATGATCAATCGATTGGCTTGCGTGATAATTTTATGCATAAACGCCTTCGGCGTTTATGCAAATTATCACGCAAGCCAATCGATTGATCACATCATGAAACCAAAAAATTAGACAGTTATTCCTTAAATAATGAATGTACAAGATTCCAAATAAAAAATATTATAAAACTAATATACTGCCTAAAATTCTGGTACTGAAGTATGGTTAAAGAGGTGTCTATATACCATTTCTAAACTTTTAACATCTAAATTATGATTTTAAGGTTTCGACTGAAACACCAAATATCCCAACACAAATTATGTACTAATACTAAAATATAAAAATGGGAGATACTTAAATCGAATGATTAAAGTTACTGACACAGCAAGATACACAATAGCTGTTGACCTTGACCTTACAGGATTTTACCTGAGTGGGGCACCTTTATATTATTAAGAACATTATATTCAAGTATGAATTATTACCATGCAAGTTTTCTTAAGCCTAAACATGATTTCATTATCCCATAGCCCAATGACAGTGACCATTGATATGTATGATTTGAGGCAACAACATAAAACATCTATGCATTATCAGTTGAACAATTTGAAATTGGAATCATTACATTCTACGGTCCCAGAGTTACAGTATGAACACCGTTTCAATTTCTTATTTTGAAGTGACAGTGATCTTTCAGATTTGACATTGACGCAAGATTAAGACACATCTTTTGATCATAGGATACAACATTCTAAAGTTAGATACCATTTTAAGCAAGGGTACAGAGCATCATTGCCGAGATACAAATTTGAGAGAGGCACAATGTTAAAATCATTACGTCTTCTTCAATATATCGTCAAACGTTCTATTACATGTAAGTCTCCTAAAAATCAACATAACTTTTACTGTTAGACTTATTTCCATGGAGTATCATACATCTCAATAATGTATGTCTATAACTTACTCCTTCCAAAACATCTCTCGATTTAAAATTCTAAGAACATCGATCTGTCTTCCTTAGGTTTCAAACAAAATACCCGGGTCAGCTTCTACAACCTGTTGATACTCATTTACAGGGGGTTTACATTGTAGATCCTCTTTATCAAATCCGGTCACTTTTACTCCACTACTAGGATTATTGTAAATGTTTGGTTCTATCCTCACGGAATCACGTGATCCCATTGCAGGATCTTCTTGGAAATAATTATATGGTAACAGGAAGAAACTGAGATCCATGCCTGGTGTGTGAGTCACTGGAAGATCCTCTGTATGGGGGATATGCTGTACACCCATACTCACCCAAGCAACCAAATCCTGCACGAACAAATCAACAAATTTATACTTCATTGCATTCCATACTAAAAAATCATTTGATTTGAAAAATAGAATATAAAAACCCATTGTAATAATAATAAAAAAAACAATTAAAGACTTAATTAAATTGAATTTTTTATATACTTGTTGATTTTAAGACAAAACAAGGCCCATAACTCATCGGTAAAGTTTAACTAGACTTTTTCTTCTAAGCTACATTATGAGTTCATTTTACATGGAACATCTTCCTTCACAATTTTTTCTCTTATCTTCACTGAATGACCCTGAATTGTCTTGAATCAGATAAAATTGTTAAAAACATGTAATGTTATTTACAACATTTCTTTCACAGTTCTATATATTTTGAAGTATAAACCTTGCACGAAAGACATGGCAAACCCTTGGTGATCAACAACCAATCAAATCAAGGAATAAAAAACATGGACTATACATGATTTCTATATTTGCCCATTGACCTAATTTACATGTATTAAGGAAGCTCTAAACACAGCACAATAAAAAGTTCTAATTGGAGGGTTTCTTCATGCAGTTAGAGTGATAAGCCTTTGGAGGTAAGATAGAATAAATTGGAATAACCAGTCGACAACACAATTTGTAATGGATTAAGGTATACTTAACATTATATTAAAGCAAATGTAAGTTATTAAATTCATTGATTTCCCAATGTAATTAAACAACAGTGTTTTCTGTTAATAATAGTTCATTGTCTTCATCATTTTTCCCGGGGAAAATAAGGCAGGTACCCTTTGTTGAAAATGAACTATAGAACTCAGTCTATAGACCTTTATATGATAGGATTTTTCTCGAATTCCAAAAGCATTTTTCATTATTGTTTAGAGCTTCCTTTAAGATATTACTTTGAGTCAAACCTACAAAAACTTGATGGATATTTAAAACATCAAACAACTTTTTTCTGTCAAAACAAAACACAGACTTGAAGGTTGACACCG